TTAGAGGTTTAGGGTTTAGGGTTTGATGGGTCATTGAAGGATGCTAATATAGAAGCCAAAATAGTTTGCGATATTAGTGTTAGGGCTCCTGATTATACATATACTATGGAGAGTCTTATTTTAATTATGAAGGCCACCACATCAGCCATCGCTGACCCATGTTTACAGAGACATGCCCACAGGTCATAGGTGAGAAGGCGATCTGCATTCCATCTATATTCCCTATCCTATGGCGCTTCTGCTCCTTTCCTTTCTTGTTTACAGAGCTCTTGTGCAGGCCTTGCTTTTGTTGGGATTCCCTAAACCCTAAGCCCGTTTGGGATTTAGGGTTTAGGGCTTTAGGGTTCTAGGGTTTTAGGGTTTTAGGGTTTAGGGCTTTAGGGTTTTAGGGTTTAGGGTTAGATTCCCCTTAGGGTCTGCAAAGAAGGTTTTCAAGCAAGGTGAGGGCTTGGATCCTCCCGCTCCTGCACCTTACATCCTTGTCTAGACGAGAACGCCATCATGCTTGGCTCTTTTTCGCTTCCTTCCTTCTGCCTTTTGGTGTGCTGCGGCTTTCGATAAACATTGAACTCTAATTCTGCATTGAGTCATCGTATAAATCATGGTGCACCACGGTTTATGTCTACCATGGTATGTAGTTCCTGGGGAAGCGGCTGAGCTTGTCTCTGTGTTGCCAGGAGCTGGCGAAGCAGATCGAAGCTTTGCGGCGCGGTGAGAGTGTGAGAGTCTGCGCGGAAGAAGTGCGGCTCCTGTAATATAGAAGCCTCAATAATTACCAGCACTCGCGGTGAGAGTCTGATGGTCTGCGCGGCTCCTGTAATGTAGAAGCCTGAACAATTGCCAGCACTTGTCGTTAGGGTTCTTTATTTTGATTAGACTCTATGTGCCCAGAGCCGTATTCAGGCCCGTATATTGGCCGAGAAAAACGGCCAAGGAGACATCCGGCCTTCGGCGGAGCAGAGGCTCTGCGCATCAGAACCGAAAACAGCCAGGTTCCTAATGTGGCAGTGCATGTCCAAACTTTCACTCCCGCTGGGCTTATCAGTGTCGCTCTGGAGCTCTAGGTTGGCTCAGCGCAGCAGACTCCGTCCGAACTTGTCGCCCGTGCTGCGCTTTCTCAAGCCGTGCCTGAACCACCGTATTGTAGCGCCCGGTCTTGTCGTCCTAGCGGCAGTGGGGGTAATTATACCTGGAGGGTGGGCTCCCAATCCCTAAACCTTGAAAAGTAACCCTTAAGGAGCCTTGGGGCCCAACCGCTCGATGTCTCGGCAGGTCTCGGCGTTGAGCCCTTTTGCCGAGCCGTGCGCTTTGCGCGCCAAAAACGCCCGCGCATTTGCGGTGCTTGCTAGGGTTTAGGGTTCCAGAGTTTAAGGTTTTTTTTGGGGATGCAGGGCGTTTAACAGTTCAGGTAGTGAATGGGTTGGGAAGTCAAATGGGGTTCATTCTGCACACGTGGGGCGTTTGCCGCGCACATGCCTAGTTGTAGGCTAGGCTTTGCTTGTCATTGTTACTTTTTTTCCACGAGAAATCAGTTGGGCTCCGAGGCGGCTTCTGTGTTCGGTGGCACAGATGTGCTGGCATGTGCTTTGGAGCACAAGGCAATCGGGATTGATGTATTAGGCTAAGCACTCCACTTCGCAGAAGCTTTGAAGGGGAAACCCTAAATCCTAAGCCCCAAACCTCAAGCTTCATGGGATGCGGAACTTCTGCGGCTCCTGCGGCCTTTGCGCTGTGCCGGGGTGCAGGCGGCTCCCCAAGGGTTAAGTCGCTGCTGACATCTTTCTCGGGTTTAGAGTTGTAACCAAAATATATCATGAGAATCTACTATGGTACGATATCGTATGTTATAGTGTGTTATAGCATATTGCAGTACAGTACAGTATATTATGATATATCTTAATAGATTAGTCGTATTTTCTCGTATATTGTGGTAAATTGTACCTAACATACTCGTATATATTGCTCTTCTACCATGCATTGGGACATTGGAGCGTTGGCTTCTGCTTCGTCGTGTAGAGCCGCAGTTGTCATGGCTGTTGGCTTTGAATCCTAAAAAACCTAAACCCTAAACCCCCGAAACGCAGACCCTAAAGCAGCCAAAGAATACCTGAGCCCCAAACCCCCACCTGGAGCTTCGATTTCATGCTCGGGTCTTGACTTCTCCTCGTTTAGAGTAATAGAGGGGCCTAAATAATTACCAGTACTTGTTTGAGGATCCCTTATTATAATTATAGTATAATATACCCCCAAAACCCTATTCCAATTGTTAAGGCCCCTATATGACTCCAAACAGGGGCTTTCAAGGTGGTCGGGCTCACGATTTCCTGTCCCTGTTCGTTAAAGCATCAAGTAAGCCTCGACAGCCTTTCAAACACCTTGCCGAATCCATACGGGATCGTTGTAACATCCTATAGAAAACCTTGCAAGACCCAAGAAGCCAGAGACAAAGCGTCCTTCTTGGCTTTTGACTGTAGAACTGGGTAGACCGACCAGAAGCGAGTGAGAAGAACAAGCTTCGTTATAATTACTAGGGAGAGGTTGCCCTGTACCTTGTGCACAACTGTGAAGACAACTCCACACAAAGGAGATCTGATCAGAGGAGTCGTGCAGGTTTAGTGTTTAGGGAGGTCGCGAAGTACTGGAGCAGAGTGCATGGGACAGCCGCAGCATGGCCCGATTTCTAGTTGCGTAGAAAGAAGACCAGGCACGAATGCTAAACGGAAAACTCTGATGTATAGTTCTTCACCAGTGAAGGCAGTTTTCAAGGCTTCAGATCAGGCATACGTTTAAGAGCAGCCCTGTAGCTTTGTAAGAGGCATGGCTCCGCGCTTGGGATGCCATTTTAAATCACATCGGAGTTTCAGAACACAAGGACTCCACTATCGACCCGAAGCAACTAACCCCAAACCCTAAACCCTAGTGGCCGTAGCGTGGAGGAATCTCGGCAGCCATGCGGCTGAGCCTGCTTCCCATCTTGAGCCATGCCTGGTATGGTTGGCGGGAAGATGAAACAGGCATCTACGCAGAAGTGCAGGTTGCATCCGCGCCGTTCAAGTCTAACTTTGCGCACCTGAAAGACGGCAAGCCAAGGAGAATCTGGATAGAAGTTGGGGCGCACATTGAAGAGACTCTGCAACGTTCGCGTGTGTTTGGCCAGTCGGGGAACGACTTCCTCATATCTTTCGAGCCCCTGCTGGACAAATATGCCATGTTGTTGAGTGAGTACAAGGCAGACGTTACTGAACGGCGGCCACTGGGATTTCAACACCAGCGAGGTCTTGTTTTCCCTTTTGCTGTTGGCTGTGACGATCGCTACACACCCTTCACGGTGACCAATTTTGACATGTGCAGTACGGTGCTGTCGCCGACAGATGACGAGTATGGTTACTGGCCTCCGGACTGTTCCACCGCAGTTGAGAAGCGCATGGTCCCGTGCATTACACTTCGACACGTGATTGAGTCGTGGCTGTCAGGACAAGAGGTCTTCCACTTGAAGATAGACGCTCAAGGCTTTGACCTGAATGTTGTGCAATCCGCAGGCCCTATGCTGCGCAAAGTGAAGCACATTGAGCTGGAAGCAGCCTGTGACGGTTCTCAGCGGCTGTACCCGCAGGCACCTAACTGCTCCAGTGTTTGGAACTTTATGAACCGTGCTGGGTACCGATGTGTTCAGATGCATGACATTGAGCACCCGAAACTGGGTGTAGAATGTGACCGAAATAGGGGTCGATTTTGGTGTCAGACATGCAAGAGAGAAGTCAATTTGTTCTTCACTCGACTCACGAAGCCTTTCAAGTTTTGGAAAGCCTCCTGATCTATTTTGAATCCCGTCCGTGGCAGAGAAAGCGTCAAAGGGGTTGAGTTCAAGATGAATGGCTTTCGTGCATCTGTGCCCTCGTGGGTTCTGACCGCCATTGCAGCTACAATCAGAGTCTGCCCATCTTCCAGAAACCCGAAAGCCGTAAACCTCAAAACCGTAAACCCCAAGCTCTACTCACCGGAACGCCTAAACTCTAAAACTGAAGCCCCTAAACCCTCAACCCTCAACCCTAAACCCTGAACCCTAAACCGAAAGCAAGAGGAGAACCCTAGATCTGAAACTGCTTCGATCCCTCATCTCCCTGCTCTCTCTGGGTCCTGAGTTTTGGGGTCCCTTTTCAGGGCTCCTTAAAGGGATTTGTAAGGGTTTCTGTAGGGTTTCCAAAAGGGTGCTACAAGGGTCTGTATGGTCTAAAATAGCGTCCCTATTAGGGTCCTGTTCATAAGGTCGCCGTCTAAGTTTGGGGACCTAAAATGGGACCTTTTAGCATTTAGGGTGGGGGTTTGGGGTTTCAGCACCACAGCTTACCTTTCTGTGAGGTTAACGGTTGAGGGTTAAGGGTTTAGGGTCAAGGGTTAAGGGTGAAGGGTTTAGGGTTCTACGCCTTCGCTTTAGGGTTGAGGGTTCAGAGTTGAGGGTTCAGGTTGGAAGCGTATTCCTCAGGGTTCTTGACTACAATTGCACTGCAATAGCCGCAAAACCCGATTCTGATTTATGGAGGCTCCTGTATTGGAGTCTGAACCTACGCTGAAACCTTTGAGGTGCCTTGTTTAGGGGCCCGTACAACAGTTACCCTAACATTCTACTAGTTAGGGGTATTTAGGGTCTATCTTCGAATAGAAACTCTAAACCCTAAACCCTAAGCCCCTAAGCCCTAAGCCCTAAACCCAAAGCCCCTAAGCCCTAAACCCTAAACCCTTAGCCCCTAAGCCCTAAACCCTAAACTTATCTTCTAGTCCTCAACCCTGATCTGAGACCGGCAAGACTGACAAGCACGAGCTGACAGCAACAATCACAGCAATGGTGGTATTAAAGACACTGGTAATCAGGTGGTGGTGCTGCTGGTGGTGGTGGCGGCGGTGCTGGTGGTAGTAGGAGTGGTAGGTAGTAGTGGTAGGTAGTAGTGGTAGGGAGTAGTGGTAGGTAGTAGTGGTGATAGGTAGTAGTGGTAGTTAGTAGTGGTAGGTAGTAGTGGTAGGCGCCCCCCCTACCAACTACACTTGCTCTAAACCATCTCAAGAGCACATCCGTTTTACTCGATACTTACAGCACTTTCGCCATATACGAACATCATAACAAGCCTCAAAATCGACTTGCCGAGTTTGCAAACTCGGCCTCTTGATTTTGGGCTCGCTTCTCGGGGGGGTGGGGGGGGGGTGGGGTGGGGGGATGATGACGACAGTGTTACGCAAACACAACCAACAATATCACAACAAGATTCATATAGTTGCCACCCCTACTTCTGGACTGTGCGTTTTAAACTTTGGTGTCTCGAACGGCTTGCAGCTAAAACTCGAAATTGGGTGGGGGAAAGCTTTTCCTCGGTATTTACAGTAAGTTCGCACACAACCCCGCTTTTACCCGGTATTTACAGTAGTTTTTGTGATGGAATGTGTTTGATTTTTCGTGATGTTGGTGATTGCTTTTTCGTGAGCACACAACCTTGCTTTTACTTGGTATTTACAGTACTTTTTGGTGATGTTGGTGATGAAAGGTCATGAAGCGTGTCTGATTTTCGTGATGTTGGTGATGAAACGTGTTTGATTTTTCGTGATGTTGGTGGTGATGATGTTGATGGCAATGACGAAGTGTAGTTGGTAGAGGGAGGGGTGGCTAGTGGTAGTAGTGGTAGCCGCCGAAAGAAGATTTTGACGTACCACGCCCGAGCAGTTTAGGGTTTAGGGCTGAGGGCTTAGAGGTTTAGAGGATTAGCGT